GTACTGTGAGCTACGCCACGTGAGGACGAGCGTCACCATGAAACAGAAACCCCCCCAGTGTGACACATCCAGGCCTTCTTCGGCGGATCGCTTCATGCTGGTGATGCAGAATTGCATTGTACCCATCAGGCTTCCTGAATTAGTCAATCAATACGAATGGCGTTCCTTTTGTTGAGGAAGCGCAAGGCCCGCCACTGCTCTCCTTGTTCTCGTTCTCGGCACTCATTTACTCACAGTAAAATTGTGTGCACCATGCAGCTACCATTTGTCTGGATGAAATATCACCCCATACACCTGCAACAGCAGGCGATGAATTTCCGCAGCGGAGGTGTGCCTGGCCAGCTAAAACCGGATGGCACCACGAATTTCAACACGGGACCAACTTTCCAAGCACGTCGCCAGTTTACGACTGCATTTTTCACCTGACATAAATGGTACGAGTCACGCCTCCCGCATTTTTGCCAAGTTGGACGCACATAATATCCCTAACCACACGCCTAAGCTACACAACTCGTGGTTCCTCTGCAAAAGGCCTTGTAAACATTTTTTTTCCAATCAGTTCTCGCATTATGTAGATATTTGAGGGACACTAGAGAGCGTGTTGGAGCATATCAGATGGGGTAGCATCTCAGATTTCCAGTATCATTTTTTTTAAATTGGAGAAGAACTTCCTACATTTTATTTTCAATTGAACATATTTTGAATAAAGTAATTGGAAATTATTGGCTTTAACTATCTGCTTCAGATAGGAATTACATATCATACTCAGTCCAAAGCATTCTCCTCTCCTATATTTAGAAGAAAATAACCGAAATGTTTTCGTCAGAAATTTCCCAAATGTCGGGAAATGTCGGGAAATCTGAAACTCATGAAAACTTTCCTATACGCCGAACAAACTTATTTCTTCGGGATGGGTTGTGTGAAATCGATGCCCGGCCATCTCTCATCCATAGGGTAATAGGATAATCTGTGTCAGGGTGTCATTCCGTTGAAACTCCTCTTAGATGGATGAATGGATTTTCACGAGTGAGGTGTCTGTCAATCGTCAACGCATGACCGGAGGCGATATTTCCCGGATGAAAAGTCCAAAAATTCGTCCCATTTTCATGTGATGAGGCCACTTTTCTGCCATAGCACAATACCAAACGTTATCTGGAGAGTGCTCACACGTCACCACCAGCACTCGACCTGAAACTTGATTGCCGAAAGGACCGGTCCAGAGCCTGCTTCATCATTTGAGCTTTAGAACTCGAGGTCTCAAATGTCGCATTCTCTCGCACCCGACCGGAAACTAGATTGTCGAACTCGCTTCGTGCCCGATGCACGGGTCAGATCGGTCCTATCGAGCCGATCCGCATCCCGGCCAAGCTCAAAATCTTCCCCTAATGAAAACGACGGGTCTCAATTTAACGTTAAGAAGCGAAACTCGCTTAACATTTGCATACAGGCGATTGGAGTTTCCTTATAGAAAAAACTCATCCCCTTATAATAGATCGGAAGAATATTTATTTTTGAAATTTTAAAGTTGCATCCCTTCAGAATGCTATGCGGTGCAACTCACCGTTACTCTTCGTTATAAAAGGGAAATGGGAAGTCTCTTCAGACGAGAACCGTCCTCTAGCCCTCCATCTCATTACTAAGAGTTCCAAATCCTTTTTGTGCGCCTCAGTTTTAAACTATAAGTGTTATTCGAAACCTGGTGGCGATAATTAATGGGTCGAGAGCTTAAAAAGTTCAACTATTTTCACATCATGAGGCCTACTTTCAGCGATAAGAATAGCATCGTACTGAATGCCTTCCTGGGCTGTGTGCCCACAACCAACAATGATAGTATGAGGCATTGTCGGCAACTGACGTTGCTATTCTAACTGCTAGTAATGATCATATATCGCGTCCCAGTCACGTCGCCGGTTTATGACAGTGCTTCACGTATGTTTGCAGCATTTAGGTGGTGCTTCAAAATTATTATTTGTTTAAATTTTGGAGTTCTCAAAATGTCCGAAAAGTGGGGAAATGTAAACTACTCAGCGGCGGGATGTACTGAACGTATGAGAAAGTAGAAGTTCTGGAGTTCCAGTGAGTGGATAAAAGTGCATGCCGAAGTTCACAAAACGCTGCTACGCAGACTGCCTCCGTAAACAGTGAAACTGACGAAGAAAGAGCAGGAAGTCATGCACGAAATGTTCTGATTCGAATTATTTTAGCCCGTGCGTGCACGGGCTTTTACACTAGTCTACAATGAGAGCAAAGATAAATTAGTTAAGCTTCGGGATCTTTTTTGATATCCCTTGTATGTCTCGATATTGGAACATTTGCAATCTCGTGAAACGCTCCCTGATGCAAAATAATTGGTAGTAGCAGATACAGAACTGCATGAAGGTCCCTTCTCCTAAGAAATTCCTGTTTCCAGTAAGCTCCAGCGAATATATTCCTTTGTTTCTTTGAAGGCCATGATGCGGTATTAACTGAGCTGCAAGAAGCCTCGTTCTTTCGTTGCCTGGAATTTCTCCAATGAGATAATATCAAAGAATATAGACGAAGAAACTAATGTCTGACTGCAAAACTCTTTGCTCTTGCACCTCGACATGCTGTATGCACAAGCTGGTGACTTACAGTATTGGAACCATCCAGGGACGGGAGGACTTTTGACGCGAGCAATGAGGAGTAAAAGGCTAAGAGTTATAAGTGCATTTCGTAGCAGGAAATAATAACGATGTCCCAACACTTGCATTTATTTCCTTCCATTTGGTATTGTTGGTGAAGACAAAGTAATGCCATGAATGGAGTCGGTGCAAAAAAGAGAGGCCTGAAAATCTTAGGTTTTGACTATTGGAGCCTTCGAGATCTAACGTACGTTGAGTGGAAGACTAACGTTTCGTTGTCATAGCTCAGCGAAACGCCTATTGCCGTGAATGGAGTTTGAATGGGTCTTTTTGACGATGACCATGCCGAAGGATACCAATCGAGACAGACCGGCGATCCATTGTCCTTCAATGGAGAGTACGTTAAGTTTTCAAGAAAAAGGAGTTGAGGCTTGATTTGGATGCTGCGCAGTTTGGCCATTGAACGTTCGCAATGACTTCTTTTTTGGTGATCAGGCCCCCGTAGAGAAGAGACGGATAATTACGGATATCGCGCTTTGACTAGTACTCACTATGCAAGATCTGCTCTGCCTGTACCGACAGGAACCTCCGAGACTGGTTATTAAGTGGAGCAACCTGGGAGGTGTCACCCCCCCGAAATGCATGAAGGTTCAATGGGAGTAAAAGGAAGGTTGAGAACTACTGCTCTAGAGTAACTTTTTTCCGGATATTGATTCTTTAAAACCTCATAACCTTATTTTGGCACCCAAAATTTGAATGCAATTTTCTCAAATGTTTTGGCCGTATATCAACATATGCAAACTGGAAGTTCCGTGATAACAGCTAAAGGAAAAGCAGGCAGGTTCTCTTGGCCGCACGTGTTGCTTGACGAATGGGATCGCACTCGTGCTACCTTCAGTCCATGCGCAAGGTTTTGAAAGAGATACGTTAAGATACGAGAGTCGTACGTAACGTTTGTCTTGTGCGTTAGCAACAAATCGGATGTTAGATATTGGGAAAAGTTCTCTGTGCTTTGAGAAATGTTCAAATAGTTTAAATAACGGACGGTTGCATTTGGGAATATGGTAAATTTAGAGATAAATGTCCCAATTTTGCATGGTTATCTACGCATGCAAGGGATATTTGAAACCTATCCAGTCATAAATATTATCTTTCCAAGCTCTCTGCTCTTTCCGCCGCAGGCAATTTTTCCGTGACTTTCCGAAAGTTGAAGAATGGCGCCACTGTTTCTACATGTGACCACCGAAGAATGGAAAATGGGGAAGACTGGCAGTGTTGACATAAGGATAAGTTATTAGCTGTGTCAGTGCAAGCCTAGGAAGATCGCAACATGGTCTTTAGACTCCCGCTTGTGTCATTAGAGAGGTTTCGGAATCTCGTCCGCAGACTGGGACATAGTCGGGATCTTGCGATGATGACAAGAATGGACGTTAGGCTCTGTCCAATTTCGTTCTCGGTCACGTTCCCGATGTCGTCCTCATTTCATAAACTCCCTGTTGATTCACTGTTCCACCGGAGCGCGATGGACAAACGTCGAAGTTCTTGAAGGAGAAGGAATCTCCATAACGAAGACTTGAAGGGCAAAAACAAGATACTGTACATCTGTCGAGAGGCCGGATACATATGGAATTCCAAGAAGTCTTCCCCCATCAAACGATGCGAATGAAAAATGAAATGAGCTCAAGTTTCCGTCGTAGTGCCGTATCGGCCTTACAAAACAAGATCCTTGTATATTTAATTAATAATTGATAGTAATTTGATAACAGCAACGGTTGACTCAGGTTCATTTTGAGGGGTATGGAGAGGTGCATACTTCATATCTCCTCTTCCACGGAGAGGGGAGAAGTATGGTACCAGTGGCACGGGAATTTACTGTAATTTCAGTAGGCAATGGCTGATGAAAAGTTTTTCGCTTTCTAACCAGGTTAGAAATCTCTTAGAAATTCTAAGTTTAGAAATCTGAACCTTGGTACATATGTACCTTTTGGGATGCAGAGTTCAGAAAAAATCCGACTTTGGAAGTACATGCCCTGGGGGTACAAATTTTGGGGAGAAACGTTTTTCTTAAATATTTATTGTGACAGATGAAGATGGCATTTAAACAGTAAGCTGAATGTCCTGGGTTCGGTGGGGTTGTACTAGCATGTCTCACCGGCAAGCCGAATGTATCCGAATTGCTTTTTTTCCAACAGTCCCTGATGAGCCCCTTTTTAGACCGTGATAACAGAATATTTCATTGCTAATAACTTAAAACGCTGGTTCCTTTATTTCAGGGTGCAAGGAATGATCTTTATGAGACCACATTGACTATTGACCCAGTGGGCCGTGAAGATGCAACTGATGGTTACATTCTTCGACTCTACTCCTCCTCTGTTTCCCCGAATGCACAAGAGCCATTCACAGAGTTTAAATTTAGGGTTGAACTTGGGGACAGCCCCCCTGCTGCAGGTGAGAACAATAGCCAATTGTATTGTCAGTGTCGAAGCTGCTAACAGAGTTGGCAAATTTAGCATGATTTCATTATGCACATGGTACCAATAGAACTTTCATTATATGTTTGTTGAAGAACTTTTGTAATTGTAACTAGTGCAGTTTGTATTACATTTTATAATACACTGTATTATGAGAAATAACGTTTGGTTAATGAGTCACGCTTAATTACTTAATTATTCAATCCTATCAGCAGGATAGGTCAGGGGTCTCTCCATTTAAGGAGAGACCCCTGAGCCATCCTGAGTCATCCCCCTCTCTCCAGTCTCTCCAGTCATAAGCACACGTCGTCAGCCTGGACGATACATTTGTTCTGCGACTTATCAGCATGGCATTCATAAATCAAACAGCAGATCAGAATCTAAAAAAAAAACGATATTGCATTCGCAAAACGGTAAGCTGGCTTTTTCCCTTCAGTTATTGCATGATATGAATATATTTCGTTTCAATATTGCGAGTGTTATTCCCAATATTGCATGGGATATGGAAAAAGCAAGATGAGAAGGTAACTATGTTCCTCTTGATTCTGCCAGTATGAGTGTATTGACTGTGGCTCATAACAGTTTTGCCTTGAAACATTCTTCTGAAATGGACAGTAAATATAAAGGAAAAACAGGGGGACGCCCGTAACTTCTTGTTCTTTTTTAATAAGGCCAGAATAAAAGCCAATTTTTAAGTAGTTTAACTTGCAACGTGGTGTACCAGATACCAAAATCAAAATTTCATCACGTGTGATAATCAAACTTGATTCACGATGATGACAAGAAAGTATAACCAAGACGGAGAGGAAAAGAAGAAAGGGATTCCTGTGTGGTAACGAGGGGTGCACGGGATGACCATTTTCACGTCATGCGAAAAGGGGAGGACAACTTTATGATACGGGGGGAAGACATCATCCCAGGGATGTTCAGTTTGTCGCCTTCTCTCATTCTACCTCTTCTGGAACAGTAGAGGCACACCAAGGGAGGCAGAGAGGCGTTTGTGACACTACTGTACAGTGCTAAGCGTTCGATACGTAAAAAGATTATATAGGTCGGATTTTTTCGCCTTTTCTGTATGCATAAGATTTGTAGCGGAATTGCAGCGATTGTACCCATACATGTTCAAATTTGACCCATGTACCATGGATTGATGTATGTAAAGACAGCACGGTTTCATTTGAACCAATACTAAGCTAATTCTCCCTTAATGAAGGCTATATTCTAACTTTCTAAGTCGATGTCCTCTTTTGACATCTGTGTTAGTTGACAGTACGCAGCAAGTGTTTTATGGGATTACACCTTTCCTAAACCCATTTCTTGGACACGTACAAGGACGGTAAACCAGACCAAGGAATTAATGACAATGACTTTGTCCTCAAGTGACTACCCAATGAAGGCATTTTCTGAAACCTTGTTGAATAATAAGGAAGGTGGTCAGTTTGGGAAACGCCTCCTAGGTCCTATAGGAAAACAGGAGTTTTCGTCATAGATGTTCAACTCCAAGCTGATCAGGGACTCGGCCCTACCTTTTGATCGTGGTTCCCTCCCTCAAAATGATACTTTTCCTTTGCATTCCTTTGGATTCCATTTTGTAAGGAATTAGAGTAAATATGTGAGGTACCAATATGGACAATTTTTATAATAATTTTGCTGAGGAACTATTGTAATTGTAACTTGTGCAGTTTGCATTACATGTTGTAATGCCTTGCAATGTGAGAAATAACTTTTGGTTAAGGAGTCACACTTAATTACTAAATTATTCATTCTTATTAACAGGATGGCTCAGGGGTCTCTCCTTTTAAGGAGGAGACTCCTGAGCCATCTTATCTAGGCATATACAGTCTTTACTTTATGGTTATATATATATTCCTCAAATTGAAGGTGAAATCCACAAAAAAGAAATGCAAGACTGTGTTCCGTTTCATAAATATTTTTCCATATGTTTTTAAATAACTGTAACTCAATTTTAACACTGAAATCTGAGAACCTATCCCAAGGTATGGATGCGATGGTGATTTTGACCGTGTCTGCTACACCGATTTTGGTCGTGGCTCTGACAGTGGCCTCTATTTTCTACTATCGTTACAGAAAGAAAAAAGTGAGTTACGCACCAGGATTCGAAAACTGTCTCTTTCTTTAATTGTATCGGATTATTTTTCGTGAACTTCAGAAGAAGAAGCAGTCCAGAAACATCACATTGTCCAAGGAAGAAACAGAGCGATACTTGAGAGGACAACCCGAGAGCTTGAATCCAATGATGGCGCTCAACGAACAAGCAGATCTACTGCCATTCGACGAGCACTGGCACTTCCCTGCTGAGAAACTGAAACTCGGTAAGGGACTCAGACCCCCAATCAGGCGGATATGTTTTGAAGGTAGATTCCATCGCAATAGGAGAAGTCCTCGGCAGTGGCGCATTCGGTTACGTACTGAAGGCCGTGGCTATTGGGATCTGTCCTCCGGAGCCCAAAACGACAGTGGCCGTGAAGAAACGGAATCCTCTCTCCAGTCTGGAAAATTATAAGACCCATTTGATGGAAATGAAGATCATGAGTCACCTCGGAATGCACTTGAATGTCGTCAATTTCCTTGGAGTATGCACCAAAGATTTGGCACATGGTGAGTACCTTTGTCATATCGTGCAGGGTTGGTCAATGTTATGGAGGTTCGGCAGAGCACGTATCTACCACGTATATAATAGTTATTCAAGTATATAATAATTCAAGTGTTTAAGCCGCGTAACGACGCAATGCAAATAGATGTCCTGACATGTTATGCATCGTTTGAGTGCCTATGGTCAGATGGTTTGCATCGGCCCATCAAATTTTGAATATATATTTAACCCAGAATGAGGCATGAGTTATCAAAATGTTCACTATTATGCGACGCCTAGTAGAGTCCTGCATGGACTGATTTCAAGGTACACGACCGTATAGACCCAATTGAAATAATGACCCGAAATACAAATTCCTACCCAACTTTACGGCCCGACCCGACAGGACGAGAAGCTTACACCCTTCAACTGTTGCTTTCTTGCGCATTTACACATCATTCCAAACAATGTGTCATCCATTGTCGACTAACAGAGGAACATTTCTTGGAAGAGAAAGAGCTATGCAGATTTTGGTCTCAAGAGGTATTAACAAACAATGCTCTTCACAAATTTTTCCTTTCTTTTCTTCATAGTCAGAATCCACAAAATGTATCGTTTACCTTCTCTCAGATTCCATGCCTAAATAAGATTCTAGTTATGACATGGAGAGAAGCCTCACGCCAGCTGTGCTTCCTTCGCATATATTGAACTTAAGCCGCAGTATATTCACCATGGTCATGGGAAACCTAAATGGAAAGAAATGCGTGACGATGGAACTAAAGATCAATCGTTGACAGTTTCCAAGCCGTCTTGCTTTAGCCATGACTATCAGGAAGTGTCAAGGGCAAACATTCAAACGAAATGGCTTGAACCTTCTGCAACCTGTATTTTTCCATGGGCATTTGTACCTAGCTTTTTCTAGAGTGCGGCTCTCGCAAAACATCGATGTGAAGATTGAGCCTGAACCCCAGTAAGGTCGATACTCAGGAAAAAATGACACCTAGATACTGAATGCCTTGTTTCGAGAGGATTTGAATTGAATCTACTATGCACATTTTTAAAATCAATATCGAAAATTCATGAAAGTTACATATGTTCTTCAATAAAAATTAAAGGAAAAAGTTTTCATAGGCAATATTCTACAGGGTAGTTGAAAAGTTTTTCTCTTTTTACCATATATATTCTGGATAGTTAACATTTTAGATGAAATCTGGAAATCGATACATTGTCTTTTCGCGCAATTTGCGCGGAGCTGAGCTACTTTTAATAACGATGGTTGCGACTCCTGCTCTCTATTGTCAAATATAGTGAGTCATTTATTATTTTGTTTTCAAGGTGGCAAAAACTGGTTAAAAGTGTGTGCCTCTCGAAATATGTATCGAGAGAGAACGAACCGATCTTTTTATAGAAATAAATAATTCAATTGTTTCTTGTGCGCCAATCTTCAAATTTCTTCATTATGTTCCATGAGGGGTTATATGTGAAAATTTCGATATGCACTCGGAAGCAATCGAACAGGTCAGAGGTACTTCTGAGCCAATTTTAAAATTTATTTACTTTCATTTGTTCGTCCATTTCAGTAGGATAAAGAAAATTATTTGAAAACATCACCAAACAAAAAATACACTTCTAGGACATATTTTTGTTTGACAATCCGAAATTATTTTAAAATATATCTCCTTGAAATTTCTGCCCAGGGGAAGGTTGGGCAAAATGGGGCAATTTAGTAAAATTGCCAAAATTTAGTATCTTGGAGTTGGCATAGAAGTTTGTGGATTCGTAAAAGGAATATTTCATATCATACCTACGAATCTACGAATTTGATTAAACTTCATCTCGAAATCAGCAACGGCTTTTTCCCACCAATAATTCTGAAAATTGTTGTCAAACACACCGTTTTGACCCAACCATGGGGCAAAATGGAGTGCCTCTGTTTGGCAATACGGGGGCACTCCTCCATATAATGCTTAAAAAAGTTTTTATTCACAATACGTACCTATGTAGATAGGTCACGGAATAGAACATCAATGAAATATATGAAATGTATATATGAACTTGTAGATATGAAATATCTACAAGTAGAAAATAAATTATTATCTACATGTTTTCCCGTCTCTTCATTCATGCCTATTTACAAAGTTCACAGAATAGAGACCACAACGAAACATCCACAAATTACAAGCAGATGCTTTCTCTCGTTTCCTCAGGTCTTCAATGTTACGAGGGTCACATAATAAGTTATCTACCTGAATAAGAAACAAACATCCGAGGGGAAAAATAACACTTTATTTTTCATTGTAGTCACCTTTTAACTCAACGCACTCATTCCACTTTGATTCCAAGGATTTTATTCCATGGGAATATAAGTCAAATTCTTGTCCATCAAACCAATAGGAAACGGCCACTTTCAGCTCTTCATTGCATGAATATATTTTTCCCCGAAAACATTTTTTCAAGTAAGTGAACAGAAAATAGTCACTAGGAGCCAGATCCGGGCAGTAGGGAGGATGGTTGAGCTCCTGAAAGCCACACTCCCTCNGTACTGAAGGCCGTGGCTATTGGGATCTGTCCTCCAGAGCCCAAAACGACAGTGGCCGTGAAGAAACGGAATCCTCTCTCCAGTCTGGAAAATTATCAGACCCATTTGATGGAAATGAAGATCATGAGTCACCTCGGAATGCACTTGAATGTCGTCAATTTCCTTGGAGTATGCACCAAAGATTTGGCACATGGTGAGTACCTTTGTCATATCGTGCAGGGTTGGTCAATGTTATGGAGGTTCGGCAGAGCACGTATCTACCACGTATATAATAGGTTAATTCAAGTATTTAAGCAGCGTAACGACGCAATGCAAATAGATGTCCTGACATGTTATGCATCGTTTCAGTGCCTATGGTCAGAAGGTATGCATCGGCCCATCAAATTTTGAATATATATTTAACCCAGAATGAGGTACGAGTTATCAAAATTTTCACTATTTTGCGACGCCTAGTAGAGTCCTGCATGGACTGATTTCAAGGTACCCGACCGTATAGACCCAATTGAAATGATGACCCGAAATCCAAATTCCTACCCAACTTCACGGCCCGACCTGACAGGACGAAAAGCTTACACGCTTCAACTGTTGCTTTCCAGCGCATTTACACATCATTCCAAACAATGTGTCATCGATTGTCGACTAACAGAGGAACATTTCTTGGAAGAGAAAGAGCCATGCAGATTTTGGTCTCAAAAGGTATTAACAACCAATCCTCTTCACAAATTTGTCATTTCTTTTCTTCATAGTCAGAATCCACAAAATGTATCGTTTACCTTCTCTCAGATTCCATGCCTAAATAAGATTCTAGTTATGACATGGAGAGAAGCCTCACGCCAGCTGTGCTTCCTTCGCATATACACGTATTGACCTGAAGTCGCAGTATATTCACCATGGTCATGGGAAACCTAAATGGAAAGAAATGCGCGACGATGGAACTAAAGATCAATCGTTGACAGTTTCCAAGCCGTCTTGCTTTAGCCATGACTATCAGGAAGTGCCAAGGGCAAACTTTCAAACAAAATGGCTTGTACCTTCTGCAACCTGTATTTTTCCATGGGCATTTGTACTTAGCTTTTTCTAGAGTGCGGCTCTCGCAAAACATCGATGTGAAGATTGAGCCTGGACCCCAGTAAGGTCGATACTCAGGAAAAAATGACACCTAGATACTGAATGCCTTGTTTCGAAAGGATTTGAATTGAATCTACTATGCACATTTTTAAAATCAATATCGAAAATTCATGAAAGTTACATATGTTCTTCAATAAAAATTAAAGGAAAAAGGCATAGGCACTATTCTACGGGTTAGTTCAAAAGTTTTTCTCTTTTTACCAAATATCTGATTGGAAAGAAAGTTCTCGGAATTTCTTGAATATCCAGTACAAT